CTCAAATGCATTCCTTCAGTCTTCCTTAGTCAGTGTTCAACTTTCATATGCATATGAGGCGATTAGACACATCATGGCTTGGGTCAAGTGCGCCTTAGTCCTCAAAGTAACATCCTTTCCAAAACTTGAAAAAGGTCTTGGACAGCAGATTTAACTAATACAATGCGTCTTTTGATCTCTTGACAGCTACATCCATAAGCATTGATTGTGGATCCAAGCAAGACAAAATCTCTTCTCCATTAGCTATTGGTCTAGTTGTGAAGATTTTGGTCTTCTTTACTGAAGGCCGCAATCCAATCCCTGATCTTCATCAGCAGGTGCTTCAAGTCTTCCTCCTTTTCAGCAAGCAAGGTTGTGTCATCTACATATCGCACAGGTGGTTAATAAGCCTTCCTCCAATCCTGATGCCACGCTCTTCTTCATATAAGCCAGCTTGTCTTTATAACTTGGGCCAGGTGATGGCCTGGCTTTGGTGTGGGTTGGAAAGCACAGCAGTAAGCAGTGCGCAGCATTCCATCTTTGTGAAGCGAGGAGGAGGAGGAGGAGCAGGAATCGAGATGTGCGTGTGCCCATGCACGTCCCAGAGTTGCTTTTCAGGAGACCTAAGAAACCAAGCAAGCTGGACAGTGTAGGAGGGGAGGCGTCCTGGTGGAGTGTGGTGTGTGTGTTCTCGGCACTAAGCTGCATGAATGTCGTACAGATTAACAGTTGCGTGCAGCACACTGGATGGGTGCAGCCTGGACAGCCTGCCACCTGTTCCCCCGTGATACCCTGTGGCTTTGGCATGCCCGTCTCACTTCTGTCCCTTCCTGCCCACCAGTCTGTCCAACCTTCCTCCAGAATCACTCTGGGGTCTCCTGCCCCCATGCCTGCCTAGCACCCTCCATCTGGTCTGTCTCCAGGTTGGACCTAGGAGACCTTAAAGCTAAGAACCATTGTCCAGTCCAATTCTCAGTGGGTCCTTAAGACCTGGGGTGTCTGGTGGAAGGACCCTCCAGATCTGTGACCTGCATTCAGAATTCATCTTCCAACAGGCCAGTACCCCCACTACCTCCCACCAGCCCCTGCCTTCAGTAGCCCCTGCTTGAGGGAACACTGTCCTCCTGGCTTGTTGGAGGTACTGTTCCCAGAGACATACTCCCTGCAGGCAGCTCACCTCTGCACACCGGGCAAGGCCCGGGCATCGAGCTCATGTACCTGGGGTCATGTTGTTCTCCATCTTGGTGAGCTCAGCAGTGTTACCATTGGCACACACAATCTCGAAATTCACATCATTGGAGCCCTGAGGGTGCCGTGGGTTAAGGGCTCAGCCACACATTGAAAGGTTGGCAATTCAAACCAACCAGAGCCTTGGGGGGTTGGGGGGAGATGTGACAGGCTGCTTGCTAAAGATGACAGCCTCAAGGCCCCCACGGGGCAGTCACACCTGCCCAGCAGCCTCTCCAGGAGGCCGTAGCAGGTTCTCGGCTCGTAGTAGAGCACACAGTTGCTCTGCCACAAACACCCGAGACCCCATTAAGAGAGTGGCCAGGCCCTGTGTCCCCTCCCACGGAAAGGGTGTGTGGTCACGCAAGTTGCCCAGGTTCCTGGTGCACCAGCCATAGCAGCTGGAAGAAGATGGGCCTGAACCCCTTGAAGCCCTGGCAGGCAAGTTCTCATGGGGGACACGTGCTCTGCCCAGGAGTGCGACCGCGCGGGTGCGAGAAAGTCGTATTTTTAGACTGTCATGAAAAATGGAGACGTATATGAAAGGCATTCTAGCTGTAGGAAATAATGCTAGTCGGGATTTTAGATTAAAGAGGTAATAAGATCTGCCTAGGCAGAGTGAAGAGAGATGGTTTAGTCGTGAAAAATAAGGTGATCAGACAAGTAAATGGCAGGCTGGAAAATAAAAATGTATCATTCGGACGGCAGGAAGCCATTGCCTGTTTTTCAAAAAGCAAGATACCGAAGTTATCAGACCCTCCGCATCATTTCCCTTGAACATTAAAGGAGCGGTGCTGGAGTTGGAGTGACAACAGAAGGGAAAAATTGTAGTTGCCTTGCTCGGAGATTAGGGTCCAATTTATGGATTTATTTCCGGGGCTTGAGGTTCAACTGTAGATGAAATACAAAATGAAGAGGCAGACGGCTCCAACGTAGAATTGGATGCAACAAAGGACAAAAAATGGTTACAGCCCAGTTCTGTCACGTGACACGCAGGCATGAGCTGTGAACAGGGACCAGGGGTGAGGGACACTGGCGGGTGGGGTGACAGTAAGTCCTGTTTCCCTGGGCGAAGTGTGAGGTAGAGATGCCAGGCCTGCCTTGCGCATCCATGTAGCTGGAGTCAGTAGGCTAGATGCAGGAGTGTGCGATCTGAAGGCGCCTGACCCTGAGCTGACTGTCGGATTGGGAAGAAGGCCTTCTGCCGCAGCGCAAGCACCCCTGCCAAGCCAGACCCCGAGTCCAGCTGCGGTCTGCACAGAGGGCACTCAGGTGCCAGGAGGAGCAGGAAGGGGTTCTAACAGGTGTGATAGGTCAAGATTGCAAAGGCTCTCAGAAACCAGCAGAGACAACTGCTCCCGAAAAGAAAGATGGCAGGGCCCCTGGGAGAAGAGGGGAGGGAGGAAATAGTGGCCACTGACCTCCACAGCAGAGCCATCAGATGTGGCACCAGGTTCAGCATGTGTCTGGGCAGCAGGAGACACACCCACAGGGAAGAGTGCCACACACTTCTTTCTCAGCCAAATCCAAGTGATGGGTGGACATGGTGACCCTTCTCTGCAACTTCTGGGATTCCCCTGTCGTTTCTTGGCTGAGGTGGGAGTTGGAACCATAGCTGTAGGCCAGTGCGGTCACCACTGTTCTCGCTCCTTGCTTCAGAGGTGCTTGTCCAAGACACCCTCAAGTACTGGCATAGTGGGCATCAACATCGTGGACATTTGGAAGAGTTGGAGAGCACAGAGGTGGGAGATGAAGCCACCTGTGGCAGAGCTGGGTGCCGCAAGCACCCTCCCCTCGCGGACCCTGATGTTCTCCTTGTCGGTGCAAATGTAGAACTAGAATGGAGAGCCACCAGCAAGCTGGCCAGGACCTGTGGGAGGGACGGTGTGTTGAGCTTCCTGGCTTGGCGGACAGGCTTCTGGGATCGATGTCATTAGAGCAGAGACCTGAAGGATGGAGAGGATTGACCAGAGGGGCGGGATGTGGAGGCAGACTCGGCGCAACTGGATGTGAGGCAGGGGTGGGATGGGCTTGTCCACTTGGCTTGTGGTGGCCCAGATGGGGCGTGCTGGGGCACCAGTCAGGTCAGTCCAGATGTCCTCGTTCTTGAGTTTGGAGGGTGGGTGTACAGCTGGTTGGGGGACCTGGGCCTTGCAACCTCTGTTACTCCCTGAGAGAGGGTAGCTGGGCAGGAGTAGTGAGTAGTAGTGGGGCATTGTAGTAGGAGTAGTGAGACTGTGGGGCATTGCTGTGTCAGGGGGAGCAGGCCTGCGAGCCAGCTTGGCCACGGTGGGCGACATCACACACCACACAAGGCGGCCACGCCTTCACCGTATCAAGAAAGCCGGTCAGGGTGTTTCCTGGGGTTTGAGACCCCTGGACAGACAAAGTTCATAATGAGCAATTATGCAGCAGTGCCATTGGTGCTGGATGGGAGAACAGGGAGCCCGCAGACCAGAGCTGGGCACCAGAAGGGCTCGGTGTAGGGGACAAGGAGGTGTGGAGACAGTGTGGGACAAGCAGGAGGAAGGGCGGAGGTCGGAGAAGGAAATGATTCCCTCACAGCTGCCATTTGGTTCCGCTTCTCCTGAGTCATGAACGTGCTCCAATAACGGACGCTTGACGGGCGAGTGCTAACCCTCCAACAAAGCGCTTCCTTACCTGGTCCCGGTGCTCCCTTCTCCACTCCTTGTCCCTGGTCCATCCTATACGTGCTGGCCCTGGTAACAGGCCTTGGCTTGCTGAATGCCTGTTGTCACTCTCAGATGAAACACTGCAGCCATCAATGGCGGAGCATCGAATTGCAAGCTTTTAGGACTAATTGCAAAGTCTAAGCTAAAAATGCTTCCCGGGGCTGGCTTTAAATAATACTAATAATACCTTGTACAGGTGTGGTGCTGTACAATTTACAGAGCACTTCCACACGCTTCTCCCCATTTCATCTACACAATAAACAATGCTTTTTGAACTCCCAGGCCTCTGCTAAGTGCTGGTGGCGTGTTGCCAAAAGTTCTGGATACAGTAACCATTTGGTGAGCACCTGTGCACACCTAGCACTCTACCAAGTGCACCAGGGGGTTAGTGTCCCGTAAATAAACACCCAGTAAGTGTTACCTACCCAATAAATGAGCCCTGGTGGCAGAGTTTCGCGTGCTGCAAAGGGTCAGCAGTTCAAGCCCAGTTCACACCAGCGGCTCTGAGGGAGGGTGATGATGCGCTCGCTCTGCTTCCATGACGTGTAGACGTGTGCTGGGGGCGGGGAGAGAGGAGACAAACCAAACAGCCTAATCCTATTTCCCACTGCACACCTTTCCCAGACGCACAGGGAGTGATGAGACCTTCTCGGTCTTACCAGAAGGAGCCCTGGCAGGACAGGGGTTGGTTGATCACTCCACCAATAACTACCAGCTGCTCTGAGAGAGACGGATGCGGCCTTCTGCTTCCATCAGACGACAGCCTCGGAAACCTGCCCTGAGGGATCACGGTGCATCTCCAAGAGCCTGACAGCAACGCGTGTGTGCGTGTGTGCGCGTGTGCGCGCACAGGGAGAGTAGAGCCTGGATTACCAAAACACCTCTCGGGTCTTTAGATTCAGAGCACAGGCTGTCAGAAGCCGAAGAATTCCCTTGTGAGCTTTGGCCTCGAAGCCCCATTGCGTCACCAGCCCACAGATAACTGCCGAAGGGCCATGGTGTGGGTGAGGAGCGTGGGCCTCGCACCTGCGCCTATTTCCCATGGGGGCTGGCCAAGAGCTGCCAACGCTGTGCCTGACCATCCTTGTTTCTTCTTTGCAGGGCATCTTTTATGACCAAGACTGTCCAGTACCAGAATGAGCAGCATAAATTCCTAATCTGGGATACAGCTGGCCAAGAGCGAGTAAGTCACTCTTTTAATTTACTGTTTCTTTTTTTGTTTTGTTTGTTTTGTGCTTTCTGAGGCTAAATTACAGCCTTGACAGGCTCACCAGCGGGGACACATCACTCCGTTATCATGGCTGGTGTCTCTCTCTTCAGTGAAGGAAGCGCTCCCAGGCACTGAGGATGTCCTCCTGCTGTTGAGAGCCCTCACTGGCCCAGGCGTCACAGAACCAGGGCAGATGAGGGGGCGTTGCTGGAGGCCCAGGGACAGCCACCTCTCAACAGCTAAGGAGGGAACCTGATGGCGTGTAATGTGTGCCATGGAAGCGTGATGGATGAGCTGCACGCTGCCTTGTGATAGTTACTTACTAAATGCCTGATGAGTAGATTGTCCATGACGGTTATCTGCTTGAGGAAGGGACGGGGCGGGATAGGAGGAAAACAGGCATGACCGCCTTGGTACACCGTGTCATCCCCACAAGCCCAGGGTGCTTGGCAGCCACCCTAGTAGTCAGCTGCTGTTGGATTTTGTTCTCCAGCACTGTTATGGGAGGGGGAGACCAGCCGTAATCACAACCTGATGCTACACCCTTATCTAAGCCAGCCAAGGCATAGAGTCAAAGGCGCCGGGACCCAAATCACACAGTTGTGGGGCGCTGGGTCTACCCTGCCAGCCAGGTGCAGGTGTGGCCCTTCGTGCTCAAGCAGAGTCCCATGTCCTTAGATGGCACTGCCCTGGGGCAGTTTCCTGCCCTCGCACTTCATCAAGAGACACGTCAGGCATTGGGAGGCATGCTGGAGCAGAGCTTCCTTGGGGCTTTGCAGCAGCGCCCGTTGGCCAGAGTACACGATGACGTGTGCCAACGTGTTTCTAGAACATGAGAAAAGAGCAGAGAGCAGGACCCGCTTCCGTTCTGTGCCTGCTGCTTGCCCGCTGGCCCCTGACACCCACACTTCTGAGCCATTCTACCATATCTGCCTCCACAGAGCACAGGGGTGATGGTGGGGTGATGGTCAGCTGGCCGTCCAGCAGTGGTAGGCCCCATGGAGAGTGCCCAGAGACCTGGTATCTGGGGCACCTGGACATGAGCATCGGCTGGATCCCATCAGTCTGACAGCTCATCTCAAAGTGTTTGAGATGACATGAGTCCAGTGCGGGACCTAGATGGGACCTGGTTCCAGGTCAAGGCTCCGAGAGTGCCAGCCTCAACCTGCCTCTCTTGTGTGCCCTTTCACAACAACTTGCTGGTCGTTCCCAAGCAGCCTTGACCCTGTCCCTCAGCTTGGAAGGCCACCCCCTATCCTGTCCTCTTGCCTGTGGCCTAGAAAACACCTACACAGCCCTCAGAGCCCACCTCTGAGTCACTTCCAGGCGGCTCTCCTAACACCCCTGCCCTCCCCACTTAGCCATCTCAGGAGATCTCCCACACGTGCCCAGCACCTGCTCCCCGGCCCTTCTTTCATTCCCTGGTCTGCTGTCCCTGCCCTCCCTTTCATCACTCTTCACAAGATCTAGAGGGTCCCAGGGAAAGATGAACAAGACGTGTTGTCTTCCTGTAATGCCCTTCCAGGGTGGCCCTCTCCCTCATCCCCCAACTCTGAGCCATCTGCCCTCTGCCCCACAGACTCCAGCTCCCTGGCCTTCACCCATGCACCTCTAATGTGTTGCTGGCGCTCACTGGAATGCTCTCCTCCCTCCACTTGCAGCCTGGCCAGCTGGGTCCCTGGCAGTCTGACAGCCTCAGAGTTACCCTTGCCCACTGTGTCCAAGTACTCAGAGTCCATTCTCTTCCACTGCCCTCTGGGCGCTCACGGCAGGTTATGTTGCGGAGCTGCTTAACATCAAGCAGAGCAGGGCCTGGTTACGTCCTGTGACCTGCCCTGTGTGTCGGTCATCTTTCTCACCAGAAGATAAGCCTGGAGAGGAGAGCACATGTGTTGCTCACAGCTGGATCGTCAGAGCCTAGCTCAGTGCCTGATGCAGAGGGATGTTCAGGTATTGGTGGGATCCTTCAGGAAGTGGGGCAGTCCTTTGCCCTCATCCACACCATTGTCCCTCATGTCTGCTCCTGTCGGTCTTCTGTTAGGCTGTGAGCTCCTTGGGGGCAGGGACTGTCTCCTTCATGTCCCACCCTCAATCACTGGCATGCATCACTGATGCTGGGGGTTGATGTCAACTTCTGTGACCAAAATAAAGAGGGCTCCTACACGCACTCGTGAGGTGCGGGTGCAGGCCTCAAACTCAGGTGCCCAGGATTTGCTTATTCCGTCCTCGTGAGTCTGTGGTCGAAAGATGGCTGTGGAGCCAGCACCCGCAGGGGAGCCTGTTACAGCTGATTGCAGAGTGGAAGTCTCGACTGTCACCCTGCCATCACGTCCCTCAGGGGAGGTCGATCTGAGGGTGGAGAGGCCTGAAAAAAATGGATGGGATCCACAAACGCCTCGTTGACCTATGTCACTCAGAAAGCACAGGGTAGATGCCGAAATGTGCTGGCCGACAGCTTCGTCAGGACCACAGTTCGCCTTGATTTGAGTGTTCATGCCAAGAATTCACTCCTAGTGACAATTCTGAACTCTCTCTCTCTTTCCCTCACATGTCAGATCAAATGAAACTTGTTTTTGTAGTTGTACATTTATTTTCTTGAGAGAGCCACTGTCGGACCTCTTTATCCTTCGTACTTGCTACCCTAAACAAGTTCATTTTAAGTAACCTTTTCCCACCGCCAATTATCCGCCGGCTAACAAGGAACGCCTGCGGTGATGAGCATCACAGGGCTACCCCATAAAACGGGGCAGGAGCCTCAGTGAGCTGAAGGCAGACTCCGCGCATGCAGTCTGGAGTACGTTGCATCTGGTCCTGAAGGACGCCTGCCCCAGAGTCTTCGTGGGTGCTTCCTGATGGCCCTCTCCACCAGGTCGGCACGGGCATGTTTATGGTGATGGTCTCAAGTGAGCAACTGTTGTCCATTTTCACATCACTAACATTAGTGTCACCTAATGCTTGAGTTGGTAGACGAGGGCCCACAGGCCAAATCCAGCCCACGGCCTGTTCTGGGGAATGATCCTGTCGGATTACAGCCACGCTGCCTTGTTCACACACTGCCTGTGGCTGCTCTCCCACTGCTGGGCCGCACCCAGAGAAAGCAGACGGCCCACCAGCCTGGAATGCCTGCAGTGGTCGGTCCTGCCGTCCTCTCAGTTCCTGCCCGTAGGGGCCAGAACGCTGCCCAGTCCAGGCCTGCCCACCCTGTAGTTGCTATGGAAACATTGAACCCAGGGAGGAAGTGAGAAGATTGCAGTCACAAACAAAACGTGTGTGATTTGTTGAGTGGAAAACCAATTTGCTCTGTAAATTGCGCCCAAATCACAATTAAAAAGTCGAAATTTAACCCCCACAAAATGGCAAACTCAGTAAAAGAACCAAGGAAGAATCACGCAAAAAATCGACCCACTGCCATTGTGGGTCCAACTGAGAAAGACCCTATGTAAGGAGTCCGGGGCTGTAAATCTTCACAAGGGCAGAGAGCTAGCTCCCCAGGAGTTTGACCTGTAGACCTTGCGGTTGGCAGCCAGTGCCTTACCCACAGCACCCCCAGGGCTCCTCAACAAGAAGGAAAGCTCTCAGTCGCCACGTGCTCCTCAAACCCAGCTGACCTGAGTTGTGTGTGCTCAATAGGGATATTAAGAGATATTAGCAGAAAGCAACAACCAAACCAAAGCTTTTAGCTATTGCTCACTATAGGAGGGCTAGCGTTTGGAGCCTCAGCCCTGCCGTGTTCTGGGGAATCTGAAGACAAGTCCAACTAAACCCACCCTAAAAGTTTAGAAAACCTAGTAATTGAACATTCTTCAGAGAAGAGCACGTCATTCACAATGGCCATTTTGCAGTAAAAACTACAACACATTTACAAACAGGGAAATGTGACCCAGTGAACATAAACAAAATTAAAGTCACCCGTATGTTGGAATGAACAGACCAGGAGCACTGTAAAACAAAAGTAATTATGTTGAGAGATCTAAAGGAAAGAAGTCTGAACAAATGAACAGATGTGGAATCAGCCCGAGAAATAGAAATGCGAAAATTATGATATCTATAATTCTCTGATTGGATGACAAATTAATGAATCAGAAAAACACTAGGATAAAAAAAAGTGGGAAAGCATGAACAAAGGACCTGTTCCACGGGCACAGCTTCGGAGTCTGACGTGATCGGAGACTAGGAAGTAGCAGAGAAAGATACAGGCAGAACACAAGCTATTTCAAGAAATAACGGCTGGCATTTACCCAGATTGAATGAAACATCAACATACAAGCTCAAGAAAAATAAAAACAATCTTACCTAGGAGCAGCATAGTCAGACTTCTAGCAACATGCTGAAAGTAGCCAGAAGTTCAAGACATTACCTCCAGAGCAACAGTGGTATTCTTGAATGCTCACTTCTCACTACTTGTGTGTCAGTCTGTCTTGCTGGGATGCTGGAAGCTACGTCCCTGGTATTTCAAGTACCAGCAGCGTCACCCACGGGAAACAGGTAGCTTCCAGACTAAGAAATCAGCTGCCCACTTCAGAGGAAGTAGCCACTGAAAACCGTATGTGCATAGCTGAGAACCACTGTCCGATCGCGAAGGCCTGATGCGTGGAAGCAGAGCACTGTTAAAGCTAGTGCCCGAGGAGGGCCTCCCCCCCCCACCCTCCCGCAGGTCGCAGAGTACTCTGCATGTGGCTTCTCAAAGTATAACTGACCATCGACGTGAATGGAGTTAGAGCCTCTGCAGCTAAAGCCTTTGGGATCATTTGCTGATAGGGCACAACTCGACATGAGAAGAAACCGCTGTAAAAATCCAATCACAATTTGGAATATATGAATTATGAATCTAGGAAAATTGGAAGTCCTCAAAAATGAAATGGAATGCATAAAGATCAATATCCTAGGCATTGGTGAGCTGACACGGACTAGTCTTGGCCATTTTGAATCAGAAACTCCAATGGTTGACTGTGCTGAGAATGACACCATCAAGGGGAATGGCATTGCACTCATCCCCAAAAGGACAGTTCAGGAACTATCTTGAAGTAGGATGCTGTCTGTGACGGGACATCTCCCTGCCTTCAGAGTCCACTCATTACGAGTATTCAAATCTGTGCACCCACCTCGACAACCAAAGATGGAGAAACCGGCGAATCCTTCCAACTTCTTCAGCCAGAAATTGATCAGACATGCGGGGAAGGTGCCTTGTTAATTGTTGGTGGTTGGAATGCAGAAGGAGAAGACAGGATGGGGCAGTATAGTAGTTGGGAAATACGATCTTGATAATAGAAAGAAAGCTGGAGATCACGTGACAGACTTTTGCAAGACGAATGACTTGTTCATAGCAAATACCTTTTATCAACAACCCAAATCATGACTGCACTCATAGACTGCTTCAGATGGAACACACAGAGATCAAACTGACCGCATCTGTGGTGAGAGACGATAGAGACGCTCAATAGCAGCAGCTAAATCCCGGTCAGGTCCTGACTGTGGAACAGACCATCAATTGTTGCGAAGGAAATGAGTCAAACAAGTCCAGGAGAGCCAAAATACAACTTTGAGTCTATCAAGCCGGACTTCCAAGTACAGATTTGCTGCATTGAACGCTAATGCCAGAAGACCTGATAAGCTGTGGGAGGACATCAGGAATTTCATTTATGAAGAAAGCAAAAGGTCATTAAAAAAGACAAGAAAGAAAAGACCAAAATGGATGTCAAAAAGAGACTATGAAACTTGTTCATAATTGTAGAGTAGCTAAGATAAATGGAGGAAATGATGACGTCAAAGATCTCACTAGGAAATTCCAGAGGGCAGCTCAAGAAGATAATAAAATGTTACAATGAACTGTGCAAGAACTAGAGTTAAAAAGCCAAAGGGGAAGAGCTCACTCAGCGTATCTTAAACTACAATAACTGAAGGAAAAATGTCAAGTCTTCGGTTGGAATTCTGAAAGATTCTATGGGAAAAATATCAAATGATGCAGGAAGCATCAAAAGAAGATGGAAAGAATATACAGAGTCGCTGTCCCAAAAAGAACTAGTGAATACTCGACCATTTCAGGAGGTAGCATGTGAGCGAGAGCCAGTGGTGCTGAAGCAAGGAGTCACGCTGCACTGAAGACATCAGCAGAAACAAGGCTCTGGGAATTGCTGGGGCGGCCACTGAAATGTGCCAGCAAACTGAAGAAGCACAGAAGAGCCCGCTCCTCCGTCCCACGGTGTCTAAGAGACGGCTACCGGGCCAAGCCCGCTCCTCCGTCCCACGGTGTTTAAGAGACGGCTACTGGGCCAAGCCCGCTCCTCCGTCCCACGGTGTTTAAGAGACGGCTACTGGGCCAAGTGCCTGGAGGAGTTCCTTATATGGGCCTTTCCGAAGAATGTTGACTCAACACAGTGTTCAAACTGTAGAGTCATTTTGTTAATATCACATGCAGGTACAATTTTGCTGATCATCCAACAATAATTGTAGCAGTGCCTTGACAGGGAGCTTCCAGGCAGGATTCAGAAGAGCATGTGGAACAACGGATATCCTTGCTGATGTCAGATGGAGCTTGGGTCCAAGCATAGAATACCAGAAAGATGTTTTACTGACTATGCAAAGGCATTAGCCTATGTAGATCATAACAGGCTTTGGATAGCCTTTAGAAGAATAGGAATTCCAGTGCACTTGATTGTGTTGATGCGGAACTTGTACATGGGTCAAAAGGCAGCTGTTTGAACAGAACAAGGGAATACGGCATGGTTTAATATCAGAAAAGGTGTGTGTCAGGATTGTATACTCTCACCATACATACTCAATCTGTATGCTGAGCAAATAATCAGACACTAGATTATATGAAAGACAATGCAGCAACAGGATAGGAGGAAGGGCTTATAAACAACCTGGGATCTGCAAATGACACCACCTTGCTTGCTGAAATGAGAAGGACTTGAAGCACTTGCTGATGAGAGTCAAGGGTTGCAGCTTCAGTGCGCATTACAGTCAACGAAAGGGAGACCAAAGTCGTCATGCTGCAAGGAAATGTCACCGAAAAGAGTGTGAACCGTATTCACGTAACACAGAATTTGGGGGGGGGGGTGAAGGAAGAGCAGAAGAGCACATATACATTTTTTAATTGAACAGATAGAGAACAGCAGCTTTGGATGGTGCCTGGCTATTAAAAGATATAGCGTCTGGGGTCTTAAAACCTTGAAGTTACACAAGCCACCATTCAGCACAGAAGCAACAAGTCCACGTGGAAGAAGCACACCGCCGTGCAATCATAAGGAGTCATAGGGACCGGGTAATAGGCATCAGCAGACATACAACAAACAAACATTTTTTTGAGAACGAGGATGGTGCAACAGAGATCCAAAGCCCATCTGTAGACAATGGAACAATCTCCCTACACAGGAGCCACGGGAAAGGAATGTGTCAACCAGGGTGGAGTAAAGCATCGATGAAACACACTATATTCCTCTGGTTCCCTGAGGCTTCCTCACCCCCCACTGCATGACCCCAGTGCTGCTTCTCAATTCAGATTAGACCGGAACATGTACACAGGTTTAGATAAGAGATGGGAGCTCAAGACACACAGATTCCAGGAACAGGAGTGGGGACAGTGATACCAGGAGATGGGGAGAAAGGGAAAACAAATCGCAATGATCGACACATCACCATGCCCTCCTCTCCAGGGGGGAGGGCAACAGGAAGCACGGGGGAGGGGGGACAGCAGCTAGTGTGAGATGTGACAATAACAATGTACAATCGGGGTTATGGGAGGGGGGACAGGAAGAAGGAGGATGAAAAAAAGGAGCTGATAACAAGGGCTCAATAGAAAGTATATGTCTAGAAACGAATGAAGACAACATGTACAAATTCACCTGATGCAAGCAATGTATGGATTGTGACAAGAGTTGTAAGAGTAGTCCTCCTGTAAAATGAAAATGAAAAAAAAAATCTAGTGAAAGCAAACAAGGGAGAAAAAATAGCAGCCTTAAACCGACATGCTACATTAAATGCAAATGTAACTACATTAAATGTAAATGAAATGGTCATCTCACTTAAAAGGCAGAGATTTTCCAGTTAGATCCAGAAACAAAACGCAGCTGCTCTAAGAGGATCACCTTAACTGAAAGAGCAGTGAGGTGGAGAATCAGGGGTGGGAAAGTTATCTTGTGCAAGTTAGAAGCAAAAGAAAACTGCTGTGGACTCTTACTCAAAAAATCTTGAAGACTGGGACCATTAGCAAGGACACCATTGGGTACCCAGGCAGGCCGTATGAAGACAGAAATGCCCTGTCTTGTATGTGACGCTGTACTACATTGTACTGGTATCACATGCCAGTAAATGAAAGTGTTTCATATTGTGGTTTTATATGCTGAAATGGCAATTACATGAACGTGTACAGACAGTTGTCCTCTTATCAAATTGTAGACTTAAAGTCTTTGCATTTCTCTCTGGGAGTTTCACCTTCCAAATTTGAATGTTTTTTAAAATTCCAACGCTTTAAAATGAGTGTTTCCAGTATGAGTGATTCAGGAAAGAGCGTAGAACGTAGTGTCTGTCATGCCTGTGGACCCTCATTTCTCCTAGCCCAGGGAAGCCGCCTTCTCCTCGTGGTGTTGCTACTTTTCCTGCAGTGCTCTGTCTCTCATGTCAGTCTGTCTGTTGGTTTTCTTCTCTCTAAAACCTCACGTCTCAAGTTAGGGGAATCTGGCGGGCTTTCACCCAAATTTGGTATTGTCCACACAGAGGCTCATAAGATGTCTGAGTGTGGCACTTGGTTTGCTGTCACAGCCGGATGACCACCACCATCCCCTCCCCCAATACTAGCTCTCTCCATGATTCGTCAAGTGCTGATGGAACGAATGTACCGCTGTGTGCCAGGAACAGAGCCAGGCTCCAAGGTAGAGCAGAGCACTCCATCACTCGTGAAGCTCAAGTGATCTCACAGGCTAAAAGCCAAAAAGCTAAGCTCACTGTGGTCGGTCTGGGTGGAAGTACAGGGTGTGGTGTATATGGCATGGTGACTTCCAAGGGGCTGTGGAGGACACAGGTCAGTGTAGGTAAAACCCTTTCTGTAAACATTGGCCTCACACATATGTGGTGCGTGAAAAACTTGCACTGTGCGTTCCTGCCCCTCACTCCTCTTCCCTTTTGTGGGTGTCGAGGCAGGGCAGGGGGTGTTGGGGACTGCCGACTGGGAAGACAAGGCACCAGCAGAGTTAAATACCCCTCGGAGAATGAGATCCTTGCCCTGCCCTGGGGGAATTGCCGCAGGCAAGGAGACTTCATCAAGCAAAGCAAGGGGCAGGCTCCTCCAAGGGGTGCACGCAAATGCATGTTCATTTCCGCACGCAGTCAGCATTTAGATTCCAAGCTTCTCCAGTCACTCGCAGTTCAGCCCCTTCTCCAGTGGAGAATCATTTCCAGCGTGATTTCTCTCTCAGTGATAGTTTGAAAGAGCCAAAGTTTAAAGGACTATTGAACAAATGAAGTTGGGACTTATGACATTGGGTTCGATTAAAAAGCTCTTTTAGCTGAAACAGTTCTTGGTAGCCCCGTAGTTAATTCCTGTGTAACTGTTCTGCACGCTTTCCAAGGGGCCTCGGTGTGTCACATCGCAGGCTCCTGAGCTTGGCAATCATGGGCCCATTTGCTTTAAAGTGCCCTGTCATCGTCTTTGGATTAAGAGAGAGATTACCTTTCTGCTCGACGCTAATGGGCTTCTGACTTGAGGGAGGAGCAAAGTGAACCAGCTCTCCTAATTGTGCTGTCTGTGCACCCTTCTCCGCAGTTCCGGGCCCTGGCGCCGATGTACTACCGGGGGTCGGCCGCCGCTATCATCGTCTACGACATCACGAAAGAAGTAAGGCCCTGGGTCCCCCTGAGTCTTCTCTTTGTGTCAGAACCAGTTCTGAAAACCCCTCGGGCTGCGCTTACGTACCTCCGCTTCCCTCCTTTGTGTCACAGGAAACGTTTTCCACACTGAAGAACTGGGTGAAAGAGCTCCGGCAGCACGGGCCCCCCAATATTGTCGTGGCCATCGCCGGAAACAAGTGTGACCTCATAGATGTCAGGTAGGAGGTGGCAGGGCAGGGGTGGGCATGCCCAGGGCATGCCTCTTGCTCTGGGGTTGTGTCCCAAGTAACAAAGGGAGAGCAATCACAGGGCAGACACGGTCCTGCCACCAAGAGCTGCCCTGCAATCTCTTGGGTCCCCTACGTGGTCTCTATGGCCTGGGCTTTCTTTTGGGAGGGAAAGAAGCCACTCCCATTTCCTGGTCAGTGTGCTGGCCCCTTGACCAGTGGGTGGTCAGCCCCTGGTCCATCGCCAGGTAGACAGGGATAACCCTGGGATAAGTGGACTTGGCCACTGGCCTTTCCAACTCACCTTGTGGTTGCCTTCCAGAGAAGTCATGGAGAGAGATGCCAAGGACTATGCCGACTCCATTCACGCAGTCTTTGTAGAGACCAGCGCCAAGAATGCCGTAAACATCAACGAGCTCTTTATTGAAATCAGTGAGTATCTGCGGGGTGGCATGAGGATCGCGCCCAGGGGCTCCTCCTCCTGTCAGTCAGTGTGCTTCCTCTCGCTATCCAGGGCCATTGGAAATGAGCCAGGTTAGCAGAGAGGGTGTCAGAAAATACCACCCAGGCTAGCAGGAGGCAAGGTCAAGGCTAAGGCCCCTTGTCCCACCTCTCCCTCCAAGTCCCAAGCACCATGGTGTGGGGGCACAGCATCCCTGGGCCCTCTGCAGGTTGTGCCTGTGTGTTTAGTGTTTTCAGGCATCAGAATGAGGGTGGCCTTGGGCTCTAGGCTCAGTGAGGCCTCCACACGGCCCTGTATTGGGGATGGTCCAAGGTAATCATGGGACAGTAAGGAGAGAACTATCTTAGACTGCCTGAAGCCTGACCACAGGCTGGTGGGGAGGCCTTTCCGCAGAGCAGTAACAGAACGTGTGGTGACAGACAGCAGATAGACAGATGGACAGGGCGCTCAAGTTCCCACACTTCGAGTACCCACCTGTGGGCAGCATTGCTCACTGTGATGTGCCATTTGGCTGAGAGCCGAGTTTTACAGCCAGAAGGACTGTCAACCATCATATAGACTAGGGGGTGTGCTCTCCATGCCAGCCAGGGCCACGAGAACAGGCACTGGAATGGGGGGCCTGCAGGCAGCACTGGGGACCCTGACACCAGCAGCTTCAGGTCCACGGGAGCATATCTGCTGGTAGTCCAGTTGCTGGGGGCTGGCAGTGCTTCCCTCCCCCCCCCAAGGGGGTAGTTTGTGCAGAGAACCCAGAGATGTGCATGTGCGCACCGTGCCCCATGGGGCTGATACCCAGTCTTGTGCGGGCTGGCAGCCAGCGTATGCGACCTCTGCTCCGGTCAGCCCGTGTTTCCTGCTTCTGTGTTAAGATGTTACAGTGGGATAGACATCACCCAGAATGCACTCTTGAAAGGCCTCACCGGAAGGCCAGCAGGGAATTATGAGTGGATCACATTTCCCACTGTTCCAAAGGAAAGCAACTTCCTCACAGCAGAGCTCTGGAACTCTCCCACCCAGGAAAGCCCTGGGTGAGGACAGGGTACCCACTTCTTCCTGACCGCCCACTCCCTTCACGGACGAGGACGGGCCTGCAGAGAGAAAGCCCCAGGCTCAGAACTGCAGCTACAGGCTGGACACTGTTAGCTGGCCCTTGGAGCAGAGCCCAGCCAGCCTGGGTGTCCGCAGTGCCCGGTCCAGTTAGGCTCCACCGCACCCCAACTTCCACCCCATGGCACGAGTGTTGCCGATAGCTCTGGGTGATTCCTCCTTGTTGCTAGAGAGGGTCTGTTTCTCTCTGTCACGTTGTGGCCAGCACTTTGTGTCCCTCCCCAAAGTCAGGAGGGCGTTCTCTTCCCTCTCCCAGCAGTCAGTCACAGGAGCATCTCAGCTCTGGAGAAGTGGCCGAGAACACCAGAGGACACATTTCTAGTCAGTCTGGCTGGGCAGGGGCAAAAGTCAGAGGCCAAGGGCCGAAGAGTTGGCAGAGACACTGCCCTAGGCTCAGTCCTTTCGGAGTCGTGTGTGTTGTGTCAGTGGGTGTTTCAGGAGCCCCGCCAGGCCCAGTGCCAAGCCTCCCAGTATTGACAGCATGCGGCAGGGGAAGGGTCCTCGTCCCATCCCTACAATCAGATAGCCACTGCAAGGAGACGGCCTCAGTGTGGGCTTGGGGGGCAGAGCTCAGCACCAGGCGGAGCAGAAGCCGGACACAGAAGGATCAGGAGCCCTCAGAGGCATGGCTGTGGGTCCCCAGCCTGGTAGGGGGGTGACGATTTAGGCTACTCTTGGGATTCACACCAGGTACCAACACAATAAAGAGAGACCCCGTCTGTGTATCAGAGAAATACCCTGAAGTAGTTTGTGGATCTCCTGCTTAGTAACACACACACACACACACCCCACCCCACCCCAGTTCACAAAGGCCCGTGGCTGAGGTAACTGTGGCTCCACTGATCATTTCTCCAGACATTGGCAGCAGGCTGGAGACCCAGCAGGGGGTGGAGAGGAGAGGACAGTGGCCCTGTGTGAGCTGCCCTGCTGTTACTGAGCTGTGACCAATGGCCCTAAAGCAGGTCGTGGAGTGAGCGCCCACTGGGATTTAGCCAGGGATGAGGGTCTATGTGCACACCTGTGTGTGTGTGTCCGCCTCCCTGCCTGTCCCTGTGGTCTCCTATGGCACACAGAATGAGTTCTCCTTGCTGACAATGCATGGGGCAGAGTCGACAGTACCACACCCCTGATGACATCGACCAGCCAAGCAGCCATCCTGGCCCACTGGCAGACACTCACTGCCCCATTTCTTCTCCTGCCTTTCCATTGCTGCTCTCCGAGAGCCCGGGGTTGTGCTCCTGTCAGCGTGCAGTCTCGAACACCCAAAGGCAGAGTTCCGCTCCAGGCTCTCTCGGAGCCACAGTGAACTCACACTGTGAATCCTTCTTCATGTAAATCGCTAGGTTTTAAAAAGGCTTCAGGGGATGTTTCTGGTTGAAGGTTTAAGATTAAACAGTATCTCAGGGCACTCGATTTAGGGGTTCATCCAGCCTCCATAGCACCATAAATTCTGGGTTCCCTAAGAATCTCAAGTTCTGTCCTGCATGTTTCCCCTTTCGACCAAAGGTGCTGAGCAAATTGCTGACTCATACAGACACCGTGCAGCTGCCTGGTCTCAGAGCAGGGGGCGCAGATGAATTTGGTTTTCTTGTGAATCTATTAGCAATTCAAAACTAAATCTTTCTTGCGAGGTTTTTGTTTTGTTTTTTAATTAAAAATCTTTTATTAAATGTAATGAGTCCTGTAACTGAAATGAGGAAACAATGGACAAACTGGTGACATGAGACGAGGCCTGGCGCTGCAGTCGTAGGCCTGTGCCAGGGCTGAAGTCTCCCTTCTGACAGATGTCCCAGGGAGATACAGGATATTAAGATGGGGGCGGGTGTGGGATAGCACGGCAGCAACTTCACTGGAAATCTAGAAGCCACTCCAAAGTGCAAAGCGTGTCTACTGTTTGTTGTCACAGATCCAAAGTGCCTCTGTCTGAGGACAGGCGATTGAGGGACACTGAGACCCATGCCCGCCCCTCTCCCCTGTGCAGGTCAGAGAATCCCGTCCACTGACGCCAACCCTCCTTCGGGCGGGAAGGGCTTCAAACTGCGGAGACAGCCTTCAGAGCCCAGGCGGAGCTGCTGCTGACGAGCCCCCACCCCTGCAACTTTGGGCTGTGCTGGGGGTCCCGAGCAGGGGGCTGGGGTCCCCGCCCGAACAGTCTCGGACCTTCTTCTCAAACAGAGGAATCCCCGAGATGGACCAACCTGTCCTCCTGCCGTCACCAGCCCTGGCCCCTGGTCTGGGGCTCCTGCTATGAGAGGAGCCCGTGGCCACAGAGGTGCCCGTCACTGGGCTTGGACTTGCTGCCCCAGCACGTAACGTATCGGTGTGTGGATGATAGGGTTACATTGTTGAGTAGTTTTGTAATCAAGATTTTATGTACCATTTGTAAAGGGAAAAGTAACACTTTTCATAGTTCTTGAGTGGGGGTTGAGAGGGAGGACCTTGTGGAGATGACTGGGGCCTCTGTTCCCCACTGCAGCTGTCCCCGGGGCTGTGGGACGCTGGATGAACGTGAACGCAGTGGGCCTCCCCCAGCCGAAGGAGGCCCGTTAAAATTTGACATGCAGGTGATTCTTCCTAAGACTGCTGTAGAGGATTCCGGCCCCCTGCCACGTCTGAAGCACTTTCCATTGAAAATGTCAGCCCAGCCCGCAGACAGTGAATGAACCACGGCACAGCCCACCCTCGACTCCTCTCTGTCTACCACGCACCTTCTTCAGTAAGCCCTCCCCCCTGGGGAGCACAGAGCACCTCTGCAGGGTAGTGGGTTTCCTGTGTTCTCAGCTGGCTGGTAGTGGGGCAGGTGGGGATGTGGGAAGAAAGGAGAGGACATGGTGGCTGGCTGCCTGTTCCCTTATTTCACATGCCCATGTTTTTTTTTGTGGGGAGGGCATCCACGCCAAGCACTCATCAGCTTGGTGTCTGTTGCTGAACCCAGGGTTCAAGGTGTTTTCCATTGTGTAAATACGTCAGTAAACCCAGAGTTTGACTCTCCAGAGGGCCTCACAGCCTCTTGCCGGGCCCCTAGTTCTCAGCCCACCCCAACACGCACTGGAGGTCAATCTCTTTGTGCAGAGAGACGCCCTTCAAAGATCCCTCTGCCCCCCATGCACCAAACTCCCACCCGAGGGTCAGAATAGAGACATGCAGGGCCCCTCCAACCCAAACTGTCACCATCGACTGGATTCCGGCCACAGGTTCCCCCCAGGACAAAGCAGAACTGCCCACAGCATTTCCCTTGTGCCTCCCCTTCCTCCCGCATCACAGCTTCGGGGCTCAAACGCCAGGCCCAGTGCCTAACCCACTGCGCCACCCAGCCACAAGATGCCGTCCCCAGCGCAAGTGGCTTGTTGAACGTTGGTCCTACGGGTCTTGCTCTGGCTGCGGCCAGCAGCACCTGCTCTGCGGGTTCTGCTCGTTATCAGCGTTCATTCTCCCCCCTGTGAGGAGCGGTCAGCGCTCCTTTCCCTCAGGGAGCCTAATGAGGTTTTTAATATCATCTAAAAATAAAGCACTGAGTGAAGGTGGTGAAAATTTGTTCCTGGTCTAATTTGGCACCCTTCCAACCTGCGTATTGTAAGAAGAGGAAATTTACAAGATTAAATAGGAAATGAAACAGCTTGAATTTCAAACTAAATGGTGTTTTCAACACCATCCTTAAACTGAACCAGTCAAAACTTTAAAAAAATAATTGTTATTCTCTGTGCTCCCCCCAGCACACACACTTGATCGAGTTGGATCTTAATGGGGAAATTGTAAGTCGAACCGAGGAAAGCACCTCCCGCGGCCCTGCTTTGTGTCTCGGGCCCTTGAGCTTGTTCCGCTCCACTGCAGCTGCGCTGGAAGAGTCGTGAGTGCCGTGTGCCATCGAGACACGCGGACCCGCCCAGCTGCCGCCCCAGGCCTCGAAAACAAGATTCCCTGGGCTGGACCCAGCACCCAACGCAGTTAGGCTCTCATCTGCTTGGAGATGCACCAGGGGCCACTGTCCCCCAGGACACCCCTCACATGACCACGGCAGCACAAACAGGTCCTCTGGCCCACAGCGCAGAGGGTGCCATGCAGGCATGCTTGGCCCTTTCTGCCTCCTTTCTCCCAAAGGTGACACCAGCCCAAGACCCTTGCGGTTTGCCCCCAAACACCTTGGTGACCATGGTAGACACTTGTGAGTTCCGTCCCCACAGCAAGCAGCTGGGTCGTCCCCTTACGTTCCCTCCATCACGGCCATGGTGTGGTTTGGTTCTCAGCAGCATCAGTACCCTGTCACTTGTGCGCCACCACTCTCCCTCGTGTGCCCTGGGCTCCACTGCCCCTCCCCTCATCGCTGCCCGAGGGTGTGGACATGGGGACTTCATCTTGGCCCCAGAGTCACACCCTCATTAAAAACAGCCCGGACGTTGTTCCCTGCGCCCTCTGTCTGCAGGTGTTGGAGACACCTTGGAATTGTTACCTCGCCTGTGCTACAGCCTAGTACTCAGCCTCCGTCCTTATTGTTTCATTGTTATTGCTGTTGTTGTGAGGAAAGGCTAGGGTTCAAAGGGAACGAACGATACTTGAGAATTCTATTCCAGAAACTGTCCCCTGTCCTCCGCTGACGCAGGGCCACTGGGAGAAAGTTTGGGGACAGGAAAGGAGAGAACAGGCATTAATTGGCCACGAGTGCATATCATCCCTCCCGAGAGGTGGCAGTGAGCTCTTTGTAGGTGTCCAATCCCAGCAGCCACCGGTCGGCCTCGTGAGTGCTCCCTTCACCCCAAGTGCTTTCTGATGACGCGTTACCTAATTAACTGTCATTTGGTGATTTAAAGAACATAAAGTAAGAGTATGATTAAGTGCCCTTCATGTCCACCCACTCTGCAAGAAGTGATTGGGGCGAAGTACCAGCTGCCAGTCCTGGCTCCACACACAACCACCGTCACCTACTCACCACCCCCAGCAGGACACGAGCCTCGCTCTGCCTCGGATCATTGTCTCCCACTGCTGCTCAGTGGGAAGGGACTGCCCACTGGACAAAGACTCCCAGAAGCTGACCCAGTCCGGGCAGGCCCCACCAGTCAGCATGAGAGGCCTGCGCTCCCTCAGAAGAGCTGGTGTCTCCGGGGTCCTGTGGACCGTCATTGTTACATGCAGAAAGGCAACGAGAACCACGTTTCACTCTAGAGATCCTCTTAAATCTTGGCTGTGTACTTCTGTCCTCAAGGAGGAAATCACAGCTCGGTGGCCAGAGGCACGCCCTGGGGCGAGGGTGGCAGCCTCCCTCCCAGGGACAGTAGCCCGGGCCCCTGTGTCCCCTGTGAGGTGTGAGTAGAAGGAAGGCCTGGCAGCAGCTTTGGGCAGGAAAGGCCTTTATTTGCTCATGGGGGTTGATCTGAGAGCCAGCTTCCGAAGAAGCGGGGCCTTTTGTATTACTCTGTTCCCCTCTTCAGAACACACAAGCAACTTGGCTTAGGGACCCTTACCATGAGGTGGGGGTGGTGCCTGCTGGCATATAGACACTGCTGAGCCCCTCCCTAGGCTTTGCCTGAAGCCTAAGAGAGCGACCAGGAGTGCTGGTGACCTAGTAGGTTACAGGTTAGGCTGAAAATTGCAGGGTCAGTTCAAAACCACCAGCTATGCTGCAGCAGAAAAACGAGGCTTCCTACTCCTGGAACCCACAGGGGCAGTTCTACTCTGATCTGCAGGGTCACTATGAGTCGGGAGCAGCGTGATGGCAGAAGTGAGTGTGCGGGTTTGGTGGGTCAGGGTGAGTGGCGGGGGGAAGTTGCCACATGTCCCCGGGGCGCTCACCTGGTCCCCATGCCTGCCTGTTGAAGAGCCTTTCATGAGTCCAGGCAAACTTGGCACCAGAGGAAGGGGAGCTAAGCATTAGAAGGCTTACTGAAAGGTCAGAGCTTCGAACCCACCAGCAGCTGCACTTGAGAAAGCCCCAGTCTGTTCTCATCAAGATGGCGGACCACCTAGAAAGTCCTGCGGCAGGTGGTTCTGCTCTGCCCCGCGAGTGGGCTAGACCAACAGCCCCAAAGGCGACATGAGAAGGCGTGAGTGTGAACCGCGTGGCCGTTTCGACCCGTGTCCCACACAACGGCTCACAGTGGGACCTCCAAAGGCACACACATACCCCATGATAGCCATCATGGCTCATCCAGACCCCAGAATGGACTGCTCCCGGTAGATATTTGAAGATTGCCTCCACTCTTCAAAAGGACCCCTGGACGCACGGTGCCCTGTGGTTCAGAAAGGCTGGGCTGGGAAGGAAGCTGCCCTGAGCTGCCTGCCCCTCACTCCCCAGTAATGGCATCCAGGCAATCTGGGGCCTCGATTTACAGGACACATGGATGGAATTCTGGGGCCGCCGCGCTATTTTATTTGCAAATGGAAGTTCTTGAAGATATTAGAAGGATCTTCTATTTTTTCATAAGTCTCCCCGTCACCTGCTATTTTTTTTTGTTTTGTTTTACGTGTAGGTAAGAGGGCAACCTGTGGAGATGAAGTTTCACGGGGACATGAGGAGAGTGAAGAAACAGAAGCAAGACTTTGCACATTTCCCAGTCTGTGCTTCCATATTCGCTTAGCTTATAGGAAAATGATTTACTCTCCAAGCCGAGCAGGGCTCCCAGTAGCATAGATCAAGCTTAATTTGATGGCATGTAACATCAGAAATAACTAATATCTGCCGTGTGTGCTGCTCTCGGGATAATCCATTTCAGACCTGCTAGAGCCTCTCCCAGCTTCAAAACAAAAGGCTGTGGAAGTTTACTAAAAAGGGAAAAAACAAACATCGGGGAACTTTCCAGCAATGGCTGTTCTGTGACGTTGGGCACTTTGAGGTGGCAGGGTGATAGGCGGGTGCTGCAGGCAGACACCAACATGAAAACCAGGTGTCTGACAGGTTTAACAACCGAGGAAAAAATAACTTTCTAATTTGTCCACCAGTTCAATTTTAGAGCTGTATGGTGCCAGGCGCCTTGTCAAAAAGCTTCCTAATTGAATCGAACCAACTTTGGGGGAGCTTTCTGTGAATAGGGCTCCAGGCCCCAGGCTCCGTTAACCAATCAGCAGGCAGTCCTGGGAGTCTAGCCCTTTGCTTGCTCCTCGTGGAAGAGAGCTATCGACTGACCGTTTCTGGGCTTCCTGCAGCAAACAAAGCAGGCCACTTGCCTCGAGGGCTCACTTGTGCTGGACATGGGGGCAAATCACCTTCCAGAAAAAGCTCTAAGCAGAGGGCCTGTAATATTTGGGGAGAACTGGAACTTTCCATCAACTTCAGCATCTTCCGTCACGTGTAAAAACTGACCACACACACACCAGCGGGCAGCCTGAGCCCACTGCCCATTCAGCTGGCACAGGACATCTCTTCACTGATGAGAGTAACCTCTAGGGCAGCAGCCCCATGTCCCCTGGCCACGCCAGAGCAGCACCAGCCTCTGACCAACACTCTCCACCTTTGTTTGGGCTTTAATCTGGTAGCATTTGTCCGTCTGTGCATTTACCATGTCCCTGCCATGAAGTCCGCTCCGGGTCACCACGCCCCTGGAGGACAGAGCGTATGTAAGACTGTGTATCTTACGGGGGCAGAAGGCCCTATCTTTCTCATGCACCGCGGTTGATGGATACGAACCGCCGACCTCAGCATCCCAGTGCCTGATTTTGCATGGTGTTGCAGGCTTACCCCTCTCCCCCGCAACAAGCCTGAGAGCAGCTCCTGGGTTGGCTCGTCTCCTTGTGTCATGCAGGATTGCTGCTTACATCGATTGCAGATCCTCCTGTTACCAGGATAGTCGCACAGATAAGTGGATGGCTCCCCTCCTTTGTCCTGGCCATTCCCACCTGTCTGTGATGCTCTGGGTCACACCGTAGGGGGCCACCATCCCCCTGGCCGCCTTGAGGACGTACATCATGCCTCCTCTGACTAAAGCCAATTTCTTGCCTTAGCGCCCCTTCCCTGGCGACTGTCCCCTGATGGCACGTGGCGTCAGCCACCTTCCCTTTCCCATGCTGCCTTACAGGAGTCCCAGGCACAGGGCTCGCCTGCTAGAGGAAGAGCCAGGACTTGCAGCACATCATCGTCAGAACGGGTGACAACCTTCCTGTGGCCCCCGGCAGGGACGGGGACAGGCAATTTCAGCAGTTGGTGTCACGTGAGCCTCCCTTGGTTTGTGATGGAGACTGCCCAACTCAGACAGCTTTGAGAGGAGCCACCTCAGAGACATGGCGAATGCTCCGCCTGGCCGGGGCCTGATTGATTTCAACGAGTCACACTTGTGTGCCTTTAGACGACAGCATCTCCTATGAAAAAATAATATCAATCAAATAAAGTTAAGTTGCTTGCACTTTGGGTCGCTTTGCACCACTGTAAATACCAGCCCTGATGTGTGGCCGTGGCTTCCGTGCCTGGCACGTCTCCTGGTGACCCCAGGAGGAAGCAGGCACGCTGGTTTGCCAAGTAGATCTGGATGTCTGGAGACCTTATTTTTGCAGTCTTAACCTTGGGCTGGACCTGAGTCTTATGTAAATCCTATGCTACCTTGTACCGTTCCGTGATGCTGACCCGAGAATGCAAGGCCTTTTTGACGCTGGCTATGAGATTTCTCTTTTTATACGGAATGCTGATAGTGGAGAGTTTGCGGTGCAAGGTTGATTTGGCATCCTGTCAGTTGTACTGCTGGAGCCAAAGTGTTCTATAGTGAATGAACGTTTGTCGACTCTGAAAACGCTAAAGCACTCTGGAATTGTGGTATTGTCAGGAGGAGGAGGAGGGCGTCCACATTTTATTAATAAAATGCTATGTTTACAAGTCTATGGCCTGGCCTCAAGTGGTTTCTCGCCAAGCCAGTCTGCCCCGCGCTCCCCCGGCACCCAGTGTGCTGTAGTCATCTCAAAAGCAGATGTGCTCGAGACTACCCTCCCCAGCTCCCCGCGTCTCCGTCTTACCACAACACGCCACCCACACCCCCCAGTCAGGAAGGTGCTCCCCATTTGCCAGATATGGCTGCTTCCCCTGGGGCCTCACTGAGTAGGGCTTTCCCACTCCGAATCACCTGTTGCAGTGAGGATTCCGACCTGGCACTGACCCTGACCCCAACCCTTCACTCCTCTGGAGAACCCCACTCCTGTCCAGCCCAAGGCCTATAACCACAAGGCAGGGGTCAGACGTGCCCCCCAACCCTCCAGCTGTCTTTACCCTATTCTGGCACCAACCGCTGCTCCCACAGCACCCTACTTTGCTGGGTTGGTAACCCATCGCACACCTGAACAGACAGCGATACTCGCCATTCAAGAGGCCCATTAGGGGAGTTAACAGGTTGCCACGAGTCAGGATCGGTAAGCAGTAAGGATACTAGTTCACAGCAGTGCTCGGCCAGTAGACAAGGCTCTTTTCAGCCCTCAGCCTCCTAGCTAAGTGGTCCCTGGCCCTCTGCCTCTGAGCCAGGAAGCCCAACCCCTGCTCCGCCCTCACAGTCCCAGGGTCGCCCTCGTCCATGTTCTCCGTCCTCAGGTGCCTCTCATCGCTCGCCGCCACTTCAGACAGACCTCAGGCGTGCTCCTCACGCTGCTGCTTCCTAGTGGCCCTGGGACTTCTCCCTCCCTGCTTCAGAGACGGCGCCTCCATCTAGCCAGGGGAGAGGCAATGGAACTTGACCAATCCCCTCTGTTAGTGCTACCCGGGCTCTGCACAGTCCCAGTCAGCCCTTCAAGTTACAGCAGTGCTCCAACTGACCCAGAGAACCGGGCCCTGGCGGAGTCTGAACAGGAGCTGTAGCCGGGCCTCGGGCGGGCCCCAGAGCAGTGCCCGGCAGGCAGGGCGAGTGGGGAAGGAGGGAGCACAGCGGAAGTGATGGTGGCCCAAGCCAGCCTGCTCCTTAGAATTCTTCCCAAAGGCATTGTTTGGGAGGGGGAAAGGCCCTGGGGTTCGTGTGTGTTTGCGCGCGCACGCGCGTGTGTTCCTGTTGGAGAGTGGGCCCAGGAGTGCCAGAAGAGGCAGAGACCCCTGGAGCATGCCATGCTCCTGTACGCCCTTCCAGACAGGCCCTCGTTTCTCAACGGCCCCTGTGTGGTGAGGCCCAGAGAAGCCAGGTTCCCAGGGCTGGGGGCAGCTGGCCCAGCTTGTCAGGTGCATCCTATCTCAGGCTACATGGGGGACGGTAGTGCAAACACCCTGGGGCGGGTGCCAGGGGAGATGAGACTCCCACCAAGGGCAGGTACCGGTGAGACCCCAAGGGAAGCCAGGACCCAGTGCAGCCCACTGAGGACGAGCCCAACGGGTAGGGGTGAGGTCCCACTCCAACACACCAAAAGCCCCGTGTGGCCAGGTGCAAGCCCACAGGACAGAGCAGAGCCTCCCGAGGGTCTAACTCGGCGGTTCTCAACTTGTGGGTCACAACCCCTTTGAGGGTTGAATGGCCCTTTCACAGGGGTCACCCAATTCAGACAGTAGCAAAATTATAGGAAGTAGCAACGAAAATAATTTGATAGTTGGGGGGGTCACCACAACATGAACTGTGTTCAAGGGTCGTGGCATTAGGAAGGTTGAGAACCACTGTTGTAAGTCATTAGGGAAGCAGACCCCGCTTGCTCCCACAGAGCAGCTGGTGGGGTGGAGTGGCAGCCGTTTGGTTAGCAAGCTAGCTCTGTAGACATTGCTCTACCAGGGCTTCCCCAGGAAAGGGGGTTTCCCAGTGTTGGGAGAGCCCAGTGAGCCTTCCCCACCACAGAAGGAGGTGCGCTTCCACTGAGTGGGGAACCTGCGTTCCGAAGTGTCCCCCCACCTACTAGATGCCACACAGGAGATGAGCACACAGCTTCGTGAGAAAAGGCCAGGCCAAGTCTGAGGAAGACCATAAACCAAGTGGAAAGATGGGCTAAAAGCAGGGGAGGGGCTGCCACACGTACAACGGGACACATGACTGCCCGTAGTCCTCGCAGAATGGCTACCAAGCCCAAGGAACCAGAGGGACGTGGAAGGACATGCCAAGACAATCCACAGGAAAGAAAGCCCAGGTGCAGAACTCACAAAAGGGATTGATTCATAGAATCAATTAAGGGGCTGAATTCAACACTAATAGAAGCAAATCAAAACCCACCACAGTGGTGTCATCCGCTGGCCCCTGGTTGGCTGCAGCCCAGGGAACCTGCCCAGGGGCAGTGAGTGAATTAGTGAGCGCAGCCGGCCTTCCTCTGGAGAGGATTGGCCCCATGGAGAGGCCGTACACGGGCGCAGGTAGGCACAAGGGTGCTCACTTCATCCTGGTGTGTGATGACCCTGGGAGGACGATCAGAGCAAACGCTGACCAGCTGACACGGAAAGGTGTGCACCTGTACCGTGGAATGTAGAAGGAGCCCTGAAGGAACAAGGGTCAGGTGTGCAGCAGCTAACTGAAAGGTTGGTAGTTCAAACCCAGCCGGCCATCCTGTGGGAGTAAAGGCCTGGGGTCTCTGAGTCACCAAAGCCCAGGGGCAGCCCGCAGCAGCAGCATACGCGTGTGCATAGTCTGAAAGCCATCAGAGAAAACAGGACACAGGAGTGCTTTGTTTGAACGGCGTGGGAGGTACAGGGGCCTTCAAAGAGGTGGTAGGGAAATGGAGTTAGGAGATGATGGGATTTTCCCCGTGGGCTTTTTGAAGCTCCCTTCGTACACAGGAGAAAGATAAGGCCTTCTACTCCTGTACAAAACAGTCAAGGGAGGGAGGGACCGGGAAATGAGCTCATGCCAAGGGCTCAAGTCGAAAGAAAATGTTTCGAAAAGGATGATGGCAGCATATGTACAACTGTGCTTGACACGATGGGTGTATTCATTGTTATAAGGTCTGTAAAAGCCCCCAATCAAGTGATTTTTTTAAAGGGGGGCGGTGTGTAACAGTCTCAGAAGCTCCCAGGGACAGTGCTACTGTCCTATCCGGCCGCTGCAAGTCGGCATCAACTCGGCCGTGAGAGTGGCACGCTAACAGCGCTTACCGTGGAGGACAAAAACCCGGTGACAAGCGGTTACCTTTCTCCACTCTTCTACATCACACACTCCGCCACGGCTAGTGAACGTGCTACCATGTGTATGTGTGTGGTTTGGAACTCACGCCCTTTCCTGCCTTCAGATCCTACATAGAAACGGACTCAAAAGACAGGTTGGTGCTGATTGGCCCTATTCTGCTCTTTTAAAATAGGCCTTCAATGTGGTTTGTAAAAAAGCATAGAGTCAAATTTCGGGTAAATATGGGGGCGTGGTGGACTGCTCACGGCAAGGGCAGCAGTTCTAAACCACCAGCTGCTCCTTGAGGGAAAGATGAGGCTTTCTACTCCCGTAAAGAGTTAGTCTCAGACGCCCACAGAGGCAGTTCTGCTCTGTCCTATAGGGCCGCTATGGGTCGGCATCAGCCTGAGGGCCGTGAGCCTGCACTGTTAGGGGGTGTTACCATTTATGCTCAACAACCAACCTCAGTGTTGGCATTTGAACCCACCCCATGGCACTCCCTGCAGGAGACAGTCGTAATGAGCTGGAACAATTACAGCCAGGAAAACCCTGTCGCTCAGCTCACCGCCAGGGAGTCACGCGGCCTCCAAGCGACCCTGCAGGACAGGGTAGAACTGCCCCTGTGAGTTTCTGAGACCGTCACGCTTTACGGGAGCAGAAAGCCCCGGCTTTCTCCCGAGGAGTGACTGGTGGTTTCGAACTGCTGACCTTGCACTTGGTACCTCACCAGACCTAAAATTAGAAACACCGGGACCCCCTGTCCCCCACAGCCATCCCACTCCTAGGTACACACCCAATGAACTGGAAGCAGAGGCTCCAAAAAGGACGTGTGCACCCACATTCCCTCGTTCACAACAGCAGGACGGAGCAAGCAACCCGAACGCCCACCAGCGGCCGAAGGACCCCATTGTCCGTGACACGCCATGGAGCCCTCCTCCGCCAGCGAGGGAAATGATGCCGGCACTGGATGGGACACCAGGGTAGAAGCTGGGGTACCATTCTGCTGGGTGAAACAAGTCCGTCGCAGGAGAACAAACATTGCATGAGTTCCCGTCTGTCACAAGCCAAGAGCAGGCAGATGTACAGAGACCAGTTTGGTTCTTGGGGACAGGATGGAGGGGTCTGTGAGGGGTGACTGCTGACGGAGGCCTGAGTGTTCGGGGTGGCGGAGTCTTCACATTGATTCGGGGTACGGTTGCACAGCCCGTGAATACAATTGCTGTCAATACGTCTATACCTATTAGCAGGTAAATTGGCAGATGTGGCACGGCAGGTAGAGTGACGGTGACAACAGAGAAGCGCAGCTGCCGACACTGTGTGCAGTCAGTCAGACACCCCCTGGGATTCGGGCCCATGGTTTGCGGGTTTGGAGCCCTGGTTTCATGGAACACCGGTTAATTGGCATAATTGCCTATTTAGTGCATCTGCTGAACCACCGAGTTAGCTGCATAATCTTAAAGCAGCGGTTCTCAACCTTCCTAATGCTGCAACCCTGTAATATAGGTCCTCGCGTTGTGGTGACCCCCCAACCATCAAATTATTTTTGTTGCTACTTCATCGCTGTAATGTTGCTACTGTTAAGAATCAGGCAACCCCTGTGAAAGGGTCATTTGACCCCAAAGGGGTTGCAACCCACAGGTTGAAAACTACTGTCTTAAAGGCTTGCAAGCATCCACCCAAGCCACAGCGAATGGTCTCCATTTGCGTGGAGCAACAGAGGAAGGCGAGTCAGGACTAGGAAGAGGAAAGGAGTTCGTACCTAATTGCCTCCGTAAATAATGCCCCTTTGCCAGGAGGCCAGGGGCACTGGATGGTGCCAGCTACCAAAGTAAACAG